GTATAATTTTGCTAAGGCAGTGCTAAGTGCTTTATTTTAGAAGCATTACAGGTTAATGCAGACTTTCAACATATCTTAAGGAACCAAAGGCTACGATCATTTGTTCTACCTCTGCAGCGGTTTTATGATAATTGCTTGTAATCCAGTCACTGCAGGTCTGCAGGAAGCGCTCCAATTACGTGGTATTTCTCCCAACACGCTCTGCTGATGTAGAACTGACCTTAAAGATCTCTTCACTGTGGTCCACACAAGGAATTCATTCTCCTTTTCAGTGATCTTAAGAGTGTGTGATGACCCAGTGCTGCTGGTCTGGAAGTGTCAGCACTGTGCTTGGTGCTGCTGGAAGGCAGCAGATGGCCAGGCACCACTCTGAGCAGGGCAGGACTCGAAGGAGCTGTGGCCAAGGCCAGGTGAAGCAGGAGCTGGGTCCCACTCAGCCAAGCACTGCTACACGCTGCATCCCTGCCCGCTCCCGGCAATGGAGCTTCTAGACATTCTCTCAGCAGGAGCAGAGTTGTGCAGAGGCCCCAGGGAGTGAGGCATCCTCTCACAGACTTGCAGCTATGCTCCCTAGCTCTGTCACCACCCGCCCACCCACTGCCACACAGGGCTGCAGTGCCAGGCTGCTGTGCTTCTGCCTGCAAAACTGGGCAGGAGCGAGCAGGCACGGTGCACTCAATCAGCGCATCCTTTAGCTTTCAAACCACCTCATGGGTCGGCCTGCTGCCACCAGCTGTCCCACAGCTCTGCCCCACATGCTGCCTCTGTGCCTCTCTGCTTCTCAGGAGGTGCAGCGCTGGGCTGCGGTCCGAGAGATGGCCCAGACTGAGGGATGCAGCTCTGCAGGAATGTGGGGAGCACTGGCTCAATGGAATGAGGTAGCATTAATTAGGATTGATTTCATTTAATAGTCTTTGGGTTTATCGCACAGCCTTAACTGTTGCATAAAACATTTCATTTTAATAATGCACTGAAATTGTATCTCTTTTCATTTATGGGAGTGCTCGACGCCATTTTATGTGACTAAGAGCAGGCATTTGTTTCTTTGCTGCTCTTACGGGCAGCAGGGCTGAAACTGTGGGTCTGTTAACAGCATTCATGCCCAAGGCAAAGAAATGGTGCATTTCCTGGTATAACTTGAACACTTGTGTGAGTTGCTGTAAGAGAGTAAACGCTGTTACTGCTTGAGAACCTGGACCGTGGTTGTCAGGTGGTGGATCAAATATTGCAATAGGAAAAACTTGTGAGCTTAGAGCAGTTAATTGAGAATAAAGAGATGTTACAAGGAGAAAAGAACAATGCTGAAACAAGGATCTCTTCTCATTTGAGTATGAAGAAGGCTAAAAATGCCTTCCTGTGAGATGTTGCGGTTCAAAGGAGAAGAGCTGACTTATGGTCCTTTAATTCGTACATCTGCAATTTTGTTAGAGTAATTAAAGGCTAATATAAAAAGCAGATTAAAAGCATAGCTTCCTTAAAGATTGCTCTCAACTACCCAGGGTCAGAAGTAAATGATAAGTAACACAGTTGAGAAGTTGGATCTTCCTGGCTGCATAGATGTCACAGGGAAAATGCAGTAACTCAACTTTCTATATTTGAACATCTCATTATATTCAAGGCCATTGAAAGACACATTAAGCTCCAAAGAGGTGACACACAAGGTCTCTTGCTGAAAACCCATCCTTTAATTATTTTATGGAGGTTAATGTTGCTGTAGTAGAGTAGTAGGTTGGTCTTAGCAGTGAATAATAGGTTTCAGTCGAAACGAGTTTAATGAAAAATTAATAAAGCAACTCAGAATGGCTGAGTTGCATAAGGGCTGGTGATAATGTTCATGATTTTTACTGTTGCTTTAGAGGTCTTGTTTTGCAGCCAGTTTCCAGGAAGCAAAGCCATTTTCTTTCTTATTGTTCTGTCCTCTGTGCCTGGGATGTTTACTTTTACTTCTTTTTTTTCCTTTTTTCTTTCTTTCCTTCCCCCTCTTTAGAAGAGTTCAAGAGGTAAGCAGATCTCAAGCAGAGATACCAGCCAGTGCCTTTCACTAGAGAGATTCTCTCCTCCCTCCATATAAGTGTTTTCCAGGACCTCTGCTATGGCAGGGGGTGATTGCTGCTCGTGTCTTCAGGATGGGCTGGCCAAAATTATTTCTGGTTTTGTGCTTATGCCATGTGCAGGGTCAGGTCAGTTTGGTAGGGGATGTAACCTTATGTCTCTACTGCCTATTGTCTGGGGGGATTTTAGCTTCAGTGGCTGGGGGATCACATCAGAGCTCATGGACACGGTGAACCTTGTGCTGGCTGTGGTGGTGGATCTGCAGATGTCTCCTTTTGTGGGTCCCAGCACTCATTGCTCTGGAAAGAGAGGAGGAATGCGAGCATCAGCAACTTCTGCCTTTAACAGAGAAGTAGATTGAGACTGTGGGGCAGCTGGAGGTTGGCACTGAGCTCCTGAGTGAACAGCCGGAGTGGAGCAGATGGGATTGGCCAAGCCCTGGTGTGCAGCTATGAGTGGACGGAGGGTCTTCACTCTGCTTGTGCATTGTGACTGGATTGCTTGAAAAGTTCAAAGGTTAAACTCTTGTTTTTTGAAATGTAGCATCTCTGTTTTGCTCTAACTGCCTGCTTATGACTCATCGCAGCCTCAACTTCCTGAAGGAAGCTGAAGGCTCGAGGGAATTACATGCATGCTTCTATCTCTGCTATCCTACTGCTGAATATAAAATAAGGAGAATAATATATGTGAACATTAACGTGGCTTTTAATGGCATGGTAGCTTATTTTTTGACTAAAACATCCTGGTTAATTAAAGCTCAGTATGATGAGCATGTAGCTTTTTGAGTATAGGAAAACCTGCCTTGCAGGGAAATTGCTTTTCTTTTAATTTCCTTCATCCACTCCCATGTATTAGCAGGATGTGTACATGCAAAGGATGCAGTAGGAGAAATAATTCAATAAAACCTAACATTCACTACTTGGCTTTTACTCATCACAGCCTAAGATACAACTGAATTTGACTGGTTCTAGGAATTTCATTGTTAAGTGTTGTTCTGTGACCTGGCTGAAGCAAGGGAGTCCCAATAAGATTTGTTCTGTAGTCTGAACTAGCTCTAACAATCTGCTTTTTCAGAGCCTTCTGCTCTCTAAGACCTGCTCTGTCCCTCTGGATACAGAGGTCCACCTGCAGCATACCAGGAACTGTTGGATAACCTCTGTTTACAGATAATCCCTTGGGAAGGATGAAGAATCTCTAAACAAATTTTGGGGAAAGTAGTTCAAATACAGGTATCTGAGTCAGGCTTTGTCGGTCTTCTGCCGGAAGTCCTACGTAATCAAGGTAGACCTCTATAATCCTGTTTTGGGTAACCTGATCTAGCTGTAGATGTCCTGTTCATTGCAGGGGAGTTGGATTAGATGACCTTTAAAAGTCCCTTCCAACTCTAAGGATTCTATGATAGTCCATGACCTGGACAGCACTAACCACATGTTCGGTTTTTCTCCTTCTGTGTCTGACCAGAGTCTGTGTATCAAGCAGAGATGTAAATAAAACTTGTACCCTGTCTTTGTTTAAAAAAAAAAAAAAATACTACTTATTGCATGGATCAGCGTAATGCCTGCATAACCTTCTGGTTTGCTGTGCAAACCTGCTGCAGTGTTGAGGTCGGTGGTAAAGAGCTCTGTCTTGCCAAGTGCTTTTGAACTGCTGACTTGGGATAAAAGGTTAAAGCTGCACAGATCATTTATACTTGTGAGATGGTGTCTGGGAAGGGAGAGGCTGTGATCAGTGTCTGTGAGGACATCTGGGACGGCTAAGGAGGGCAGCAAAAGTAACAAATGTGTGTTAGGCTGTCAGTTTGGAGATGACTCCTAGCCGTTAAATGGCAAAGGTTCTGCAACCTTCTTCCCAGGGGAGCAAGGGCTGAAAAATGCTGCAATTCTTTTTAAGATGGAATTCAGTGTATTTGTGAGAACAACCCATGTGGTAGTGCAGGCAGCAGCAGGGTTTGTGCGCTGGCCCAAGAAGTGCTTGGCTACTCCTACTATCTTAAGTGAATACTTAGGGAATAGATAACAAACTGATACATGCGTTTATGTACCTTTGGATATAAGATGTGTGTATATGTTATATATAAAACATAGAGACAGCCCCTGTTCCTCATCTGTGGGCACTGGTTGGCTGTAACAAGCTGGGTTTTGGCATTCACAGAGTTCATGAATATTCATATTTCCTTTTCTAATTTTAGCCACCCAGAGCCTTCCTTACAGGACATGCATAATCACAAAGCCTTCTCAGAGTTTGCAAGTTGTCCTTACCCTCACCATTTACAGGGATGAAACAGTCCAAATATTCTGTTACAGTGATTCCACAAACCTATGCCAGGCTAGAAATGTAATAAGATGTCATTCTCACAGTCCTGATGTGTTTTGCTGGACCCAATTTCTGCTGTGTGGTTCCATGTGTGTGAGGCTGAGAGCAACGAGTGCAAAATTTACACAGTGTGCATAGGCCCAGGCTCACGCTCCTCGGGCTGTGACACAAGCTAGCGGCAGCAACTGATGCCCATGTAGGCCGTCAGAGCGTTTTAATGTCATTTTTGAAAAGAATCTGTTCTCTGTGAAGTCACCACAAAGGTGAGCAGTGCCGGAGCCATGCATGCTGGGCCGTCCCTGCACTGCACAGCACGGCTCAGCCCTTTGCCTCGCTGCCAGCTGCCCCCGTGCGAGGAGGGACGGCTCAGGTTGGTATTTGCTGGCATGATGGCAAGGTGCCCTGCCTGTGTTCCTTTAGGAATATTAACAGTTGGTGTTTAAAGCAAGTGCTTCCCTTGCTGAATTTCAGGAATTTTCTTTTCTTTTTCTAGTAATCCAACTTTAAGGATGTTTTTACAGATGCTTGGAGTGGCATTCTGCAGCTTTATCTGCTTTTCTGTCATTAACATTTCAGTGACAATCATTAAGAAGTACAGCTTAGGTAAAAAAGTAAAATGCTGGAGGTTAGTTTTAAGTGGAGTTCAGGTAGTGGAAGCTGAACGAAGATTTACAGATCCCTCTGCTACAACTTTTGCTCTGGATTTTTTTTCAATTTTTTTCTCACCTGCATTTTCCTGGACTTACGGGGAAAAAAAGTAAGCTACAGAGCTAGTTTTCCTTTACTTGTGCCACTTCTGCCAATGACAGAGGGCTCGTGGTTTTGAATATCAACCCTGCAGCCTGGGCACCACAGGGGCTGTGCTGGTCGGGTTGAAGTGCACTTGATGTTTTGTTTGTGACAGTTTTATTGTATTCAGTGCCAGTGACACACAGAGGAAGCCCAGCTCCCTTTATACAAACTTCTTGTTTTATTAAAACTAATGTTTTTGGGCAGGTTTTCAAGGAATCCCTTATTTCACACGAACAGAAGTGCCTCACAGTCCCTCAGTTGTGCTGCTCACTGGGTGCTCCCCAGCACAACACCCGGCGCAGGGGCAGCGAGCAGCTGTGCAGACCTCCATTCCATCACTGGGGCTGTGGCTGGTGAGAGCATGGGGCCAGGCTGGGCCAGGCCGGTGGCCCTGCAGAGGGAAGCTGTGGGCCGTGCTGAGAAGAAAGGAACAGATTTCTGAAGTGCTCAGATGAAAATTGTTTATCGGTGTTGCCATGCTTTTCCTCCCTTTACGTAGCCCGCTTCCAAACTGATAGCCATGAAATCCCCATCAGCGAGGAGCACCAGAGCTCTGCCGTGAGGCTCTGGCTGTCTATGTGCAGAGGAGTGCCTGCAGGCAGATGGTGGCTTGGCCTCGTTCCGTCAACCAAATTCTATCCTCTGCTGTTTGCCTTTTGGAACACCTAGTGCCCTGAAGAACACCTCAGAGTGGAGAGAATTTGCATTGCTCAGCAGACTCCCCAAGTATCTTTGCTTTAGCTGCTATAAAGGTCTAGTCTCTTTTTCTTTAAAAAAATATTTTTAAGCACAGTTGAGTGCTACCATGCTATCATCTTGGCACATACTCTCTGGGCAGCCCTGTGAAGTTTCTTCCTCTCAGGGCCTCATCCACTGTCAGGATGTATCTGTTGATAAGATCTTTCATTTCTTGGGTGAATGGCTCAAAATCCTTTTGCTTAGCACCAGACCGCTTAAAGTTCCCATCCCTGTTGTTCTCGACACAGAGCAGACGGTCCTCCGTCACTGTCATGTTCAAGAACTCCACCATCTCCTTCAGCTTGGGGATGAGGCTTTGTTTCAGGTCCTCGTAGTGGATGACAAGCAGACGCTTTCCATACTTCAGCCAGTCCAGGACATGGGAGGCCCACCAGGAGGCATAGCTGTTCACAAAATCTGGCCAGTCTAGATGATGGGAAAACCAGGAAAATGAGAGCATATTAGCCATGATGCTTCCACAGTGTTCCAGGTATTAAGTTGGAACAAGGTTAGAGGTGCTGGTCATGTATGAGGTGGCTGGATGTGAGTGCTAGAGAAAGCAACATGGCTGCAACTACTCAGCTCTGCAGCCATGGTGAGGAGATGGGCACTGCTCTCCCACTCTGCAAATCGGTGAGGACACAGAGTTCCCAACTGCACGGCCGCCAGGCACATAGTCGTCTTGGTTTCAGGCATTAGCAGTGCTGAGAGTCACCCAGCTGCCTGGAAGCCCCTTGGGGGTGGACAGGGCACCAGAGGTGCAAAGCTGCAGGTCAGCATCTTCAATGTGCTGTGCTTCTAGGAGCTGAACTCTCCTCTTTGCACAAGCAGGCAGCTCCATGCAGGAGCTAGGGAAGGGCAAAAAGAGTAGGGAGAAGCATTTGGATGAGAGCAGTGAAGGGGCACTATGCAGGTCCTGCTTGGCTCATTTGAGCAGTTCTTTGCCACATTATTTCAAGCAGATTTTTTTTTTTTTCCTCTGTAGTTTTCCTACCTTTTTAACTCTGTTTCAAATGTAGTTTGAGAAATATACAAAATATAGAATAGCCTCTGTATCTATGTGTACATATAAATCAGTATGCATATAAGTGCAGCATTGAGACCCTGGTTTTGGCTGGGACCTAGGGTGCTTCTCAATTCAGAGGTGTTGAGTAATGTAACTTTCTTACTGCTTCTGGGGAGATGGTTTAGGGAAACAGGATCAATAGGGAAGGTGCTTCTGTTCTGGCACATGGGAGGGATTTGCTGTCACATGCCAGGATCACTGTGACAGAGTTTACTGAAATACTTTCCCTCTACTGCAATATGTGGCATCTTAGTCTCTTGTTAGATGCCTGTGATAATTTTCTGAGGATCAAGCTGAAGGTTTTGCACTGGATAAAGTGCATCTGTGGCCAAAATACAACTATTTGTAGTTTGCAGTATGGGAAAGCCACTCTCTCCAGGCTTTGTTTTCCCTTCTCTGAGGGCTGTTTTGAGTTTTGAAAAATAGGTCTTGAGCTGTGCCTGATGAAAGGTGATGTAAGGACTAGGGAAAGAAACATGCTGTGACTAAAGACACACTCCTACTGTCCCGTGAGCCCTGTGCTAAGTGGTTTGCCAAGCCACAGCTTTTATGACTGAAATACACAAGGGGAGAGATGTGCACTGAATCCTTCCTGTGCTGCAGTCTGAATGCAGCAGTGTGTACAGCAGGGATAACACAGTCCTACCATCCAGAAGTCATTTTGTGCATTCATGGAACGCTGGAGTCCCCTTATTGCTCCTATCTTTATTTATCTGCAGTGCAGTAGCACCCGTACAGTGCTGTAAAATTTCCTTCAGGAAGTCATGCTTCATCAAACCCTCAATTTTAAATTAGATTTCTCTCTGTTATTACATGCTGCAGGGGCAAACTTCCTTCACAGCACACAGCCTGATGGATGGCTGCACACCAGGCATTCTCTGCTGTGCGCCGCTTTGGTAGCGATGCTGCAGTGCTGGTGCTGCACTGCTGTCAGTGGCAACAGAGGCACAGCCTGAATGCTTCCGGGTCTGGTCTCTGTGTGGTGGTGCTTGAGTCCCACTGAATGTTTGCAGAGCTCCCTCAGGTTTTGGGATCACATCCCAGTGTTATCCCCTCCCAGCATGCAAAGGCTACAGGCTCTGAGCTCTGACTGCAGCAGCCCTGGGCACCCCGCATGCTACCTTTGCTCTTCCAGTTGCGGTCTGCAGCGTAGCCCAGATGCCCAGCGAATTTCCTGTTGAACTCTGCCATGAGCGATTTGTATGGGTTTCGTATCAGCAGGATAGCAGAGTCAAACATCTCAATCTCCGTCTTGCCACTTTCATGTGTTTTCACACAGATGGTCCGTCTACTTCGCCAGTGATCTTTTTCTCCTTTAAAGCCTGTTTATAAGACAAGATTGTTGTGTTGCTTTTTTTTTTCCACGTGACCATGTGTCTGTGACTTTTTACACTCTTAAACAAGGCCTTACTGTTGTGAAAACACCAGCTGATTAAACTTGTTGCCCAGTATCTAGGACCAGGGCTGCTGCCAGCAGTGTTACTGGGGCAGGAGCCACCCTGTGAGCTCCTTCATGTCTGCTGGGATTAACAGCAGCGATAGCCTTGGGTGGCTCCAAGCAGAAGGATGCTGGAGCAAGCAAAGCCCTGTGCCTCAGAATGGCTCTGTGTCCCATCACCCCCGAAAATGGTACCTTTGTTGTAGAGGGCTCCATCGAAGTAATAGCTGCCTGTGTAGTAGCCTGTGGCATGCTCGATCAAATGGCGAGCCCACGTGTTGCCAGCCCCTGGGAAGCTTGACAAAGCAATGAACCCCTTAGATTTTGTGGTTAAGAATTTCCTGTCTGTGCAGCGGGTGTCTGTGGGTATAGAAAATAATTCATTGTTAGCATTGTGGTTTTTTAATTAATTCCACTGACAGCCCTTGATTACAGGGTTTATTGCTTTTTCCTCCCTTACAAGTATAGGATATCAATTTGAGTCCAGTTGTGAGTCAGCTACTTCTGAAAATTAACTCAGCCATAAGGGGCCAAAGAGATTATCCTCAGAAAAGATTTTCACTGGTTTTGTGTTAGGTGATGCTTTTTATCAGAGTTGCAGTGAACCATTCTACTTGCCAGCAAGTTGTGATAAAAGCCCCTTGATGTCTGTTTGCTAGCTGCTGTTCGCCTGGGTGGCTGACTCTGCAGCGGAGACCTCAAATATGCCACTGTACCTGGAATAGCAAGTTTTATAATGCAGGAGAAACTCTTTTACTGAAACAAACTGCACTCAGTTCAGCCTCTGGGTTGTGGTTCTCCTCCAGAAAAGGGCCCAAGTCAGTTAGGAGCCCTCCCAGAGCTGACTGCCAGCAGGGTCTGAGCAGAGCTCTCCTGCCAGCTTCAGTAAGTCCTGCCCGTGTGGGGTGTGTGTTAAAAGCAAGTGCAGGGGGAAAGAGTGAGCTTCAGCTAAGTGATGACTCAATAAGAAGCCAGGAAATAAATTAGAGGTCAGTCTGGTAGCCTTGAGATGAAACCATGGCCTGAAAGTGCCAGCATGGTGCCAAGAAGACTGTCTTGTGCTGCTCCTTATCTACACAGATGTGGTAGATAGTAGCAGTTTCATGAAAGCAAGCATTCTTCTTGCATGGTCTTTATACAAGCTGTTATTTGCAGTCAACCTCTGAACTGGGAAATGGAGCAAAACAATGGATGTTGGGAAAAACACAGTGCCTCTCCAGTGAAGCACTTCACTTTAAGTTTGTAAGTACTTTTGCGGAACATGGTGCAAACCACTGCATGGAAGAAGCTACAGGTACTACCTTGATGGTTCACTGGATCTTGGGGCATTGCTCTGCTTTACGCTCTGGCTTTGGCATGTAGGAAGATGAGTATTTTGGAGGAAGGTGGGCAGAGCCTCAGAGCCTGCTGAGCTGTCTCTGTGCCTGCCTAACAGGCTGGCATGTGCTCAGGCGGGGTCCTGGTTCCAATGCCTTGGGTTTGGCTGCCCAGGTTCTGCCTCCTCTTTATCTGAAAAACCATTATTTTTCCTAGTGGAGGGGCTGTGCAGCTTAACAAGAGACTGTTTGGAAGTAATATTTGGAGAAATGTTTATGAGCATTTATGAGCATGACTGTGAAATGAGGATTTAGGTAAGGGGAGTTTTCTCGCTGCCCGTAAGGCTGCTGTGAAGCACGTGTTGCCGCGTGCTGCAGGAGGGGCTGGGGCTGCAGGGCTGTACCTTGCACCGGAGTCTGGTAGGCCAGGCAGTACCCCCCTGTGGCAGCGCTGCTGGCGTTGGGCATCGCGCTGCAGAGCCGCCTGTCTGCGCCGTGCCGCAGTGGGAAGCGCCCCGTGGGGTACCCGCAGTAGCACTCCCGCCCCCGGATCACTGCCAAGGGAAACTCCTGCGATGGAGAGAAAATAGATCAGCGCACAAATGCCACGGCATCAACAGCCTGTGGGGAATGCTCCTGTTATGCAAAGGAAGATAAATCTTCACAAGCCACTGTCAGGATCAAAGCAGTGTTTGATATATCACTGTAAAGCTCATTTCTTATATCGCTGCTGTCTTTCATACTGCAATTTCTTAAAAAATGGCTTTAAGACAGAGCTTGTAAGGCTTGAAAACTCACAATGCTGTTTTTTCATTATTCATAAAAACATATAATTCGATTCTGTTTCTCCAGTCCTAGTACATAACCGCACCTGAAACTTCAGTAGGGGAAAGGCTGTTCTTATTTACCCCTCAAGTGAGCATTTTGAATTGCACCGTCTTTACAACTTCCATTTTTGCCTCCAAACAGAGGAGCGAGCTGCAGTTATGCTTAAAGTCATAAAAAGTTTGCATCTTACTATGACTCCTTCACAGTCTGCAAAACCCCAGTGTCTGCAGAAGGGCTGGCACAGGTTTTGGGCACTACTGTCCATATTTTTATGGAACAACTGCTTGGGACCACAAGACCAAGCCAGACCTGTGGCATCTGGTGTGGGGCTGGAGCTGCCATGCGGGCACAGCACCTCCTGTATGGCATTTGCTTCTTGGTGGGGACACCTCCTGTGAAACCTAGGCTAACTGCTGTCAATGACAGATCCCTTAGCAGAGCAAGCCTGCTGCTGTAGATGGTGTTTGTCTCATGGAAATAATTCACAGTGGAATTTTTGGCTACAAGACATTTCTTTTCAATGTGTTTGAATCAGGTTTTTGGTTTACTGATCTTATCCAGAGAAGGGATCAAGTTGCAAAGCAGCTTTGCTGTGCTCTGCAACAGATGCAGAATGGTGGTGCTGGGCCGCTCTGCTAATACTGATGAGAATTAATAGAGGGGTTTGGAGGAAAACATCTGGTTGTTGTTTGCTGAAGAAATTAGTGGGTGTCTAGGAGTTCCACAGAAAAAGTACATTTTCTAGTTTGCAAAAATTGGCCCGAAAATTCAGCCCTAATCTCTGCCAGGGGACTGGGTGTGTGTTTTCTTAGACTTCCAAAGTCCCTCTGGTGTGTGGTGCATCAGTATGCATGGAAAGGCTTGACCTCAATGACAGAGGCTGAAAGAAGCTCAGAGGTTATTGGAGCGCAGAGCATTCAATTCTACCTATTCCATAACGACACTTCTTGCCTTTTAAAAGTCTTCTGAAATCTGGGAGCATGTGCCAGGACTACTGAGCAGCTTATCTCTCACTCTTCTCCACATGTTCATCCTCTGATAAGGAGTCAAATACAACATGTATGCCATCTGTGCCCAAACAGCCAAAATTTGCTTAGTGAATGAGATACGACATTGTCAAAATCTATTTAGTGATTTGATCCAAGGGCAAAATAGTTCTGTCTGCCTGCAAACAGAAATCTTCACTGTGAAGCAATGTTTCTCCATTTGAGAAGTGAACAAACATCCTGACCCTAAAGTGCAGCCTGGAATAAGAATGTACCATGTCTCCTGCCAAGTGGCACCTGCAAGAGAGACTCTTTTTGGCAAGGGTGCAGATTTTCTCAAAAGACCTGAGCAGGTACTTCCCTACTCTCCTGCATTCTGTGCAGTCATGAAGGCAAAGAAGGACCAGGGTAGTATAGTACAGTTCTGCAATCACTCTGCATCACTACCTATATCGTTCAGGCAACAGGGACCTGCTGCTGGTGCTTTGCCCCTGCAGAGATGGCCAGGCTGCTCCCCACGTCCTGCTGCTCAGGCAGCACTGTAAGAGCAGTCTCTTTCTGGCTTTCTGTTTTTTGATTCTTTCTGTTGGTGTTTCAGTGCTTTTCCCAAGCTTTCCTGCAGTTGGGTTTAGGTTTTCATCAGAAGTAGTAGAAAAACTGCGTACCTGGACTCTGCTCCCATTGCCTCCACTGGCTTTTGTACTAATGCTACGCCTACATAATAGCATGTAGCTGCGTCTAGAGACCAAAGTAGCAGGTCAGTTTTGAAATTAGAACATCTAGGAAGCATCCTAGAGGTGGTCAAGTCCGAATGTGCAAACTTGCTGGAATGGCTTTTGAATGCATTGAGCTGGTGAGGTTCTCTTCTCAAGACTTTCGTACCTCATTTTTGTTTTCATTGTATGTAACTATAAACAGTAGCTGAAAGGTAAAATGATTGAATATATAAAAATATAAATTCAGATGGAGATGGCTAACTTACTATGCAGGTTGGCTTTCAAAAGAGCATATATGAAAATTATGGCTTCTGGCAAAGAGATACATTCATGGTTCTGTGTTATGGGGTGATAATGGGTAGCTATTAAGGCATATCATCACTCACAATTAAGAAAGAAATTGATCAGTAATGCTATTTAGCAGGTCTCTTAAAGTTTTTACCTCGAATTCATATCTCACATGCTTCCAAGGACAAGAGCTTTACTCTTTTGACTGTACAAAGCCATTTGCAAGACTAACAACTAAATGTGCTATGTTGCAGTTTAGTTTTCTTCAAAGTCCCCACAGACAAGAGAGTAATTCGTGTACTTAAATGTAGACCTCAAACCAGTCCCATGAAAAGCCCACTGGCCTCTTCAGGATGCACGGGATTTGGGGGAATTATTCTCTTTTGTGCAATGAGTGGGACTAAAATGAGCATCCTGTCCTGACTGCAGGAGAGCTAAGTAGTCCTGTGTCAGCCAGGAAGCCGTCCATCTTGTTCTGAAAGGAAAGGATCTAAAGTCAGGGTGAATATTTCCACCGTTATCACAGGACTCACTCTGCTATCTGGAGTCAAAGCTCACACTTTTTGTGCTCCTGCCCTGCTTCTCTTGAGTTACTGGCAGTTTGTGTGCACTGTAGTTTTTTCTCTGTTCTGAACTGGATTGGGTCATAGTAGAGCATTTTTACTCTACTTGATTATTTGTAGGAAGTGTACACTGAAAACAAACTATGTAATTGGATTGTGACCTTTTTCCCCAAAGCACATGCTATCAGTGTTGCATAGGTTTCATTGAAAAAATTCCTGCATGGACTTCATGAGCTTTTCCTTCCTGCATCATTCATTCATAGCTAATACACAGCTTTTGCATTTGTGCCAACAACATGCCGAATTGCTTCTATGTCTGCCAATGAGTATGCCCAAAATGGCACTGCCACTGCAGGGAAAGGACAACATGGCTTCAGGGAAACGTAAAAACAAGAAGAAATGTAATTGTGGTATTTTTTTTGTGTTGTGTAGCGTTTTGCATGGAGATAAGTGGTACTATAGTAGACAAGAAGTGAGCACTGTGATATCCAAATGGTGTGTAGCAGTGGGGACTGTGGCTATGCCACTGCTGCTTTTTAAATGCAGGGACATTTTGCCAGACTTCCTGCAGGCAAATCATCATCGTCATCATCATCATAGATGTTCTCTAATGCTTGATTCTGGAAGGTCAGCATGGTGCCTGGCATCACTGGGTATTGACTCTGGTGAGTTTCATCCTTCAGAAACTCATTCACAAATTTAGAGCTCTAAGGCACTAATCTCTGCTATTCCTTTAGTAGATTAAAGTTTAAAGTAACAAAAAAAGAAGAAAGGATGTGAAATGAGAACTGTTCTTACTTTCTTGGAGCAAAATTCAGAGCACATCTCCACCGTCAAATTGGGCTGTATCAAAGAGGCTGGAAAGGTGTCTGTTAAATTTTCTGGAGCTCTAAAACATCCTCGATAGATAACATTCCTCCCTGCAGGGATATGAAATAGGTTTCTCTTGAGAAAACAACGTCCATAGTATCCTGCCTCTATCACAAAGAACAATATTAGGCTCAGAAGCTAAAGAATAATGAAATAAATCTTATATTCCAAGTACTTTAGAAATAAGAGAAACCATGATATACACTAGAAAAATGTGTTGCAAATCCTGTGGTATGAAAGGAGCACATGCCTTTGGCTTTTGCTAACCCCTGAAAGCAGAGTGCGGCAAGGAGTTTAAATTAAATTCCACCAGTGGAGGGCATTGCTATTGTTTGCAACTCCTGGTTTTCTTTTGAAGACATGCTTTTCCCTGAAAGGCTTAAAAGCCCTGATAAAAATCTACAAAGCTTCCCCTCATCTGCACCAGAAAAGGAATTTAAATGAATCCTGAAAGCCCCCGCGGGGACCCACCTTCCTGCACATCTCCTCCTCTTCCCCTTCCCTCGCCTTCTTTTCAGGGCAAGGGAGTTTGCTGCAGTCTTCAAAATCTGAACTAGGCGTTTGTAAGCTGCTCAGGGAGAATCGCTTTCCTGAAGTCTTTAGCATCAGCCTCTGGTCTGACCTGCCGCTCTATACACGCTGCCGAGCCGGGCAGAATTGCTCCATTTTTTGCATCACTGATTGAAGTCGAGGTGCGGCCCAAATGGTTGTTACAAGCAGCAGTGCAATTCTTCCTTCCTGCTTCAGAAGTGTCCCTGACAGAACCCAACAAAAACCCAGAGCTATCTATCATGGAAGCTCCCTGTCCCAGGTGAGGCGATGCATTCGCACAGATGAACTAATGGTAATGGAGAAAACAACGTCGTGTGACTGGGTTAGAAAAGGAAAGAGGTCTGCGTGCTATGCGACACTGCTGTAGTTCTTAGGATTCTCTGAGCTTTACACATATGGAAAATGTCTTCATCTTTCTGTATCAACTCTCTATTGTCATACTTCACCCAACGTGACTTAATAGGGCTCATGGTCTCTTTGGGTCTTTCGAGTCTTAGTCTGCACCCACTGGCCACCACAAACAGAACTCACCAGAACCGATGTGGGAAAGGGCTGCAGTTGGATGGCAGTGGATGGGCAGGGCAGTTCTGAAGGCTCCTGGGGAACGCGCAGCCCCCCAGGCTGCAGGAGCTGCACGCTCGCACTTCTGCACTTGTGGGGTGAAGGGGACGCAAGTCCTGTGTCTGCCCACAGACCACAGGGCACGAGCAGCAGAGCCTCATGGTGAGGGCAGCGCTGTGCCTGCTGTACCAGGAGCTGCTGCCCGAGCTGCGTTCTGCACTGCTGCTGTCCCTCATGGTTTCTGCTGGTTTCAGAGGTACTTCCCAATATACTTTCACAATTATCATTGTGATTAGTACTTCCGTTGGCTGCTCAGCTATCTCGTTGTCAGTGGGAGTTTTCAAACAGTCAAATATCAGGTGTTAGTGAGAGCAAGCAAAATACAAATCTTGCTCCAGGCTAGATTAATTTGATGACTTATTCATTAATGGTTAAGAAAAAAAAAAGTTGTCTTTTCCTGTGAAATACGTATATATATTTTCACACTGAAAACTTAAACACCTGCCAGTGTGCCCGTCAGCCTGACACTGGCAATTTAGGTCTACGTGCCTTTGGTATATAATTCCTATGTGGCTGATGGATGATGGTACAAACCTCGACTCTTTAAGAAGTGAAGTGCCATCAGCGCTGGCACAACCTTGGTCTTGGTGCTTGTTCTCAAAATTAAATCCAAAGGGTCCTGTGAGCTTGCCAAAAGCACAGCTGTGCTCATGGGTATTTATATGCCTTGTGTTGGCCCAGAGGTTTATGTTTTGTCTCCTATGGCAGCTAACTGAGCAGATGAGTGTTACAGAGGGTAGGTGACAAGCAGGATCATTCAAAGATGAAACAAACATCTCAGGTGCTGCTAGAACAAAGACCTTGCGAAAGCGGAACTCTGGGTCTCATTCCTGTTACTGAAGAGTCTTCTCTTATGGTACTGGTGCGCTTCTGTTTCTGCCCTCTATTCTCCTGCTGCAGTCACAGGATTTCCTTTGCTTAGGATTATTTCTGAGCTAAGGATGGTATTGATGGGTGTTTTTAAGCCATTCTATGACTGTGTCTTAAGCATGAGGTTTTGTGCCTTTGCTGAGGATGCAGAAGGAAGCAGTTTTCTCAGCTGAAGTTCTGCCCTGCTGCAATCCCCGTGCAGCACTGCCCTGCTTCCCGGTGCTGCCGCCTTCCCATGCAGCGCTGCTGCAGGGAGGGAGCCAGGGCCCACACTGAAACTGCAGCTTTGTCCCACAGCTCCCAGCAGCGGCTGCACGCACAGTGCTAGCGCAGCACCGAGAGCGGCATCGCCCGCACTTACGTCGTGGTGCCGCCGCCTGCAGCTCCTCCACCCTGTAGACTGACAGCCGGTTCACTCCGCCGCACACCGAGCCCTTCTCGCCCTTGCACTCGCTGTTGCATTCCTCGGGCCTGGAGGCGGTGGCTGGGAGCTTGTTTCCACAGTAGCATTCCGCTCCGTACGCCAGGCCCGCGTAGGCATAGGCCCTGTGGGTGAGCACAGGCACAGTCAGAACGGGCCCTTCGAGCACCCTGTGTGGGGTGGGGGGCTGGCAGTGCCCTCTGAGCACACTGTAAGAGCTGCACACTGCTCCCTGGGGTGTGGTGGGCTGGAAGCCCCGATGCTGCTGGGGCTGTACTGCAGTGAGCGCAGAGATCTGGGCCGAGGAAGTGCCTAACCAACAGCTGACAAAATGCCACGTTTTGACCAGATCAACAGCAAATGCATCTAAGTAGCTGTGCTACAATAAGAACAGTAGATGGGCAGCAGTGACAAAGTCTGCCCCAAACAGGGTAGCAGAAGGTCTGAGATAATCATGGTTTTCACTGATGCTGCATGTTTAATGTATGTGGGCTTTTCCCATCTCAAATACAACTCTGCTTACTGTCAGAAAAGAGAGAACTCGCTGTGAAAGAGCAGCTCACCTCTCAGCACACGCCTCCTGACAGTGAGCCACCGTCATTTTTCGTAAGTCGTAGAATACAGCTCCCTTCAGTGTCCTCTCCCTCGAGTCATCGCTGAAGCAGCCCACGTAGGTGCCTGTGTGCATGTAAGGCAGAGTCAGGGCACGTGCACAGCTGCAGGTCCCAGCCAGGGCTGTGCTTTGTGAAGGGCAGCAGCCATCCCTAGCTGGCTGCTGCCAGGGGGCTGCATGGGGACAGAGCAGATGGTCCTTAAAATGGTGGGACTATAGGATATCCTTTTGGATTTCTCCCAAGTTTTTTTCAAAACCTTTAGTTGAGAATAAGATGGTGAAGAAAAATGTTAAGAAAATCAATTTCCTTTGGATGTGTAGAGTTTTATATTAAAGCTATAATGGAAAGATAACTCCAGCTCTAACTAGGCGGCACTGCCTCTATCGCGTTAAGTTATCTTCTCTGGTGTGCCAGAATCTTTTAGCTTATGTCTTGCTTTAGTTAGCATATGAAAGAGAAGTATTTCTGCTACACTGCATCCTCTGTTAAGCCTCTTTTGTTGTCCTGAACAAAACACAATGTAAATCTAACCTGTTTTTTTTGTATTTTTTCGTATGTGATTGGAAGGCTGAGGTAGCACCCTGCTATTGTACAGCAATTTTGTGGTTACAGGTGCATGTTATCATTAATATGCAATGGAGAAAGGAAATTTGATTTTGGATGTAGCAGTATTGAGATGACAACGCTGGGAAATTATTTAACAGGAGTTGCAGAGAGGAAGAGAATATATGATGAAAACCCAAATTAAAAAGCATTATATTAGCAATAAAATAGTCCAAAATAAAGTTAAAGGCACTGTCTGCTGGGCAGAGCCTGGGCACAGTGCTGTCTGGCACTGAGCATCCATAGGCACTGAGGCTGCAGGGAGAGTGCTGTGCTCAGAAGAGATCAGAGAGCAATAATGAGGCTGTATGGCTATAAGGAGTCGGGGGAGATAATATGCTCTGCATAGGAAGTTACATTTTTAATCATAATTTCCAAAAGCTTTCTAATGCTTTTTAACAATACTGTTATTAACAGTGTCACTTTGTGTTCAGATATTCAAATGACGTGTATTTGAATCGACGTAATTCAATGGCTGGTAGCAATAAATAGTCCTTCTGGCTGTCTTAGTCAGCAATCGGAACTCGAGCAAGGCACTAGCTTAATGACTGATATGGGCACTAGCCTTAACTAATGTTATGGAAAATTTTCAAAATTAATCCTTTTGTTTCTAAAAGAAGTTTTAAAAGCAGTTCATGCAATATGCAGAACAAATTCATGGTCTGTCCGATATCCAAGTACCTCAGACACTCACTCTGTTGCTCTACCTTTTATCTACTCTTTCATTAACCAGGAAAAAATAACCCAGCCCCCACCAGGGTGAAGAGCAGCCTGTGGCTGAAGGGAACCAGGAGCTGGCGGCAGGCAGAGCTCAGGGCCAGCTGTGCCCCGCTGCAGCCCAGCAAGGAGGGTTCAGTTGATTTCTTCTCCGGATTCCTATCCACAAGGAGTCCCTTAAAGCAGGTGCTGGCCAGTGCCAGGTTCAGCTGGTGGTGCCAAGACCACGTGCTGCTTGTGGCAGCCCCTCTGCCGGGAGGGCACCAGGTCCCCACACCCCATGCTGGGCTTGGGTCGGCACTGGGCTCATTTTGTGCTTGGCCAGGTGCTGCCATTGGGCTGTATGCCCAGAGCAGGCTGGGAAAGGCAGCAGGCTGCTGGGACAGCCCTTGCTCCTGTGAGCAGGATGCTGGCAGCAGTGTGTGGAGCTCTGTGCCTCAGAGGCTCCAGCAGCTGCATGATGCAGCTTCACACACTACCACTGTTGCCTTCTTGTTTCCATTCCCAGCAGTTCACACAGTAGGAGTCACTTGGTGGCACGTTTTAGTGGGATTTTTGCAGAAGGTGCTCCTTTAGATGAATTTATTCAGCAGAAGGAGCAGTGCAGTAACGTGGTGCCTAGTCCTTCTGATCCCATTCCTCTTGCACTGCCAGTTCTTCTGAAAAGCAATGCATCAAAGACAGCAAAGCCGTAGCCCGGTGCTGCGGCCTCAAAAGTATAGGGTGTTGAAGCTTGCACACAGGGGCTTCCTGCTCCTGATGTTTGATACTGTGCTGAGAGCAGCCTGGCCCTTTTCTTATGAGTGGGAAAGCTCTGGGCCCACAGGTGCCAGGAGGTCAGATCTGTACAGCTGTTGATACAAATGGCCAACACATCCTGCCTCCCTAATCGCAGTGACCCAGCATGAACCCTGATGCTTTCTGCATCCCTGTGCTCAGCCTCTAGGCAAGCAGAGCTGGGGCTGCAGCACAGCACAGTGAGAGCAGGCAGTCCCAGGGCAGGAACCATGCAGAGGTGTGAGTGCCTGCAGATGCCTGCTTTGCTTCTTCACTTGCCCTGGGGACTGGTTTTTAAGAGATTTCCTACTGAATAAACCATAGTGGTTCATGTATGTATTTATTAGTAGCAGTAAGTATTGAGCTCGCAGGGAAGTGAGCTCTGATTTCTGTCAATCCTGAACTGCTTTCCATTTAAGATATTATTTAATCATGAGGATTGGAAAATGTACCGTTTTGTACCTTGTGCTCTGGCTGCTAATGCGCTGCCCTGGCCCTGCCCCATGCAGTGATGCACACTCCCTGCAGTCTGTTGGCTGGTGGCAAATTTCCAGCAAACTCACCAAATACTGAGAGTTTGATCCAGGGGTTCTTTCTCGTTTGGAGCACAGGGAGGGCCTAAAGCAGTGGTGTGCACCCATGCCTCATCCCTCTGAAGACAGCGTGCTTGTGGGGATGGCTGCAGAGGGCAGGTCAGGAAGGGGGAATGTGTTTGTGACAGTAGAGCTGAGGTTGTGTTGGAAAGCAGAAACGTACTTCTAAACAGAAGTTACTGCGTGGCTTTAGATAAGTAATGTAATAAAACTCATTTTTAAGTGTTCCCTATTCTGAGAAAGAGACACAGCTTTCTGCAGCATTCTTCTCTGCCTGCTTGAAGAGAAAATCATTTAAAGCAGAGGAGTATATTTCTCTGTGGGCTCGCACTCAACCAGCAGAAATACATTTCTGGACCTACAGCTCAGTGTGCAGGGACACAGCCTCACTCTGGCCTGTGCATGCCCTCAGGAACTGGTGCGGAAGTGCTGCCGAGCTGCAGGAAGGCGCGTCTGGCGCACCTCGCCAGGCCTGCTGGTCTCTGCTTGGGTCGGACTGTGGAGCAGCAGTCTGTGCCCGTGCCAGAAGGTGAGCAGAGGGCGCATCCCTTACCTTTGTGCTCGGCGGCACCCCTCACAGCTCTGAGTCCCGCCGTCTGCATGGGCTCCTGGTCACCGATGAACCTGTGGAACCACCTCCTCCGCAGCCACCTCAGCTCTGAGTTGCGTGATGCCGTCCAGCGCAGGCTGTGCCGCGGTTCCACCCCCGGCAGCGCGTCCGTTCCCACGGGGAGCTGGGCGCTGGGGCTACGCGCCAGGTGAGGGTCTGCGGCCTTGGCTCCCGGCCCCGTGTCCACCCCTGGCGGTGCCAGGCCTGAGGCCCCGCGTGGTCCCTGCTGGGCTGCCAGGCGGGCGCGCTGCAGCAGCAGGAGGCTGCCGGCCATGAGGTACGCGGCGGTCAGGAAGAAGAGCAGAAACTGGGTCCGCCGAAGGAACTTCTGCAGCCTGAAGAACGCTTTGGCCATGCCCCCACTGGAACGGGCCTTCACGCCTCCCAGTGGGCTGCTGGGCGTCCACCTGAACAGGTGCTGCTTCCTCCCATGGGTTCAGCCCATCACTCCAGCACTGCTGCTCCGTACGTGGCTGTCAGGGCCCCAGGCAGCCACCAAGCCAGGCCCAGTCCTGCGCGGTGCCATGGCCGAGCCGCTCGCTGCACCTGCCGTGCCAAGGGGAAGCGTCAGCAGAACCACACTGGCCCTCGGGCACCTTCCCTGCACCCTCCCTCCAGCCCAGCGCTCCTCCATCTGCTACTCATAATTATGCACTTTAATGACAATAATCCTGTGAGAATGACTGATTAAGCAGTAGATAGCTCCAGCTACTCAGCGTTACCTTTCTTGAGCTAGAACTGTGCAAGAAATACAGTTATAATGAAATGATTTCTCTAGAGGTGTTTGGAGAAAGGTTCTTTATTTTCTTTTGTCAATAGTCATCTTCTCCCTTCTTTGTCCATGGCTGGAATGGACAGACATTGCACAGGCATCTTTCTAGCAATGCATTGGCAAATTCCTTCCTTTCAGTTAAGCAGTAGCTAAGCTACAAATGCTGATCAGAAGGAAACAGCAGTGTGGGTGTGGGGAGGAAAGAAACTGCATCTACTGACAAAGGACAGGAAAATTATTAATCTCTTTGCGGTTGAAGGCTGTGTGATCTGTGTGAGGTACTGTGCATGTCACTGTGAGAGGAACCGGAGGTCCTGTTTTTTTTAGTCAATTTTTATTGACAAATATCAACATGTAGAGGTGCATAGGAAAAGAACAGTGAATGTCTGGAATAAAAACTAATTTCAGATTTAACCAAATACTTCTGACCACTTCTGAGCTTTGCAGGCTTTAATTGTGTTGATGTGTACCGTGATGGGATTGCTGGGAAAGGAAAGCTCCTTTGTGCTCTAGGGAACCTTTAACCTCCTGTAATGAATACAAAGTGGCATCTCCCCACAAGTTCCTGCTTCCCTGGTCACAGCTTCTCTACGAGGCCTGGCAAGTGCTAAGGAAAAGATGCAATGTTCTCCAGGAAAGAAAATATTATGGCTTTTGCTTAACTTGCCACTGGAGCATTCTCTGGAATCTCCAGTCCCAGCAAAGAAGCATCTCTTTGCTGTACTCCTTGTTTCTGATTTACATTTTTGCGGCTATTCGCTTACGCCTCTTTCTTCAATAGATGTTAGCAATTAAAAGCCTCTGCTTTTTCATCTAGTTGTACCATTTATTTCTATCTTAAACAGCAATCAGAAGCAAGGCTCAAAAACTTCTAAGAAAAAAGCACTCCTGAGCCCAGCTGGATGTGCCGTCAGTGGAGCCGGAATTCCTCGACAAGGCTGAGCAGGGCTGGCACATGGACCGGGCTGACGGCCTGCTGGCACTTTGTGGTGCTGATCTCAGCCGTAGCACTGAAAATAGCAGGTGCCTTTGTTTCTGCTGCTGTACTTACTCTGAGAGCTCAGTGTGACAAGGCCCTGTTCTCCTCCCGCCAGTACCTGTGGGTTTTTAGCAGCTGATGAGCTCTAGAGAGAGACAGCACTATGGGCTACAAGGCAGCAGTGTGCTTTAATAAATTAAGATCACTTTCCCACTGTGATCCAAACTCCCTTCCGATTAGCTCCAAAGCCAAAAAGAAGGGAAAAAAAAGACATTGATTTACGCCAGTGGAAGAGCTGACCCTTAGATTTAAATTATTGAAAATCTCTGATTAACGTTGTGAGTGCTCAGGAATTACAGTAGAAGGGTCAGAAGTACCGAGACAGATGAACAGAATATTAGCTACAATTAGACACCGCAGAGTGCTGCCATGCTCATCTATCCAAGAACAGAGCGGCAGTCCCGCGCCGTCCCAGCACAGCGCTGTGTGCAGCCAGCACGGCACTGCTAGGCCTGTGAGGAGGGGCTGTGCACAGAGTCCTGCAGAGGAGAAGCCGCCCCTGGGACTCACATGACTGACTGACTGCCCTCACACAGCAGATAAAAAGTTTAAATGGCATGAGGCAGTTTTACTGCAGCCAATGTGACGTATACAGAGTACCTCCAGATGCGTTCACCCTCGCTGTGGTTGCCATGACAGTGCCTTGTAGTAAAAACCAACCAAACAAATAAGCAGACTCTCCGCCCACAGCAACTGCTGCAAACGTACTATGCAGAAATTAGATGTTGCATTTTAGCGGGGAGATGGCGAAGAGTGCTGCTGACATTTAAAAAAAAAAAAGTAATTTGATTTTTCCGTAAACCGTATATTGCAGTATCATCAGAGTATGCCTAAAAGAACTGAAGTGCATCGCTTCTGATGATGGTATTAAAAAGGAAAGAGTAAGGAGGATGTGAAATAGTATCTGGTAATAGAAAATGTGCCATTTGTCTTCTTTACACAGATTTCACTTAAAATAAATGAAGTGAAATGGAAGTAGAGTCTTCCATTCCTATTTATCAGTTCTGGTAGCCAAAGGGTTTTAGGACTGCATTAATTGATAGTTGAGTTAAAGTCAGTAAAATGATAAAATAATAATAGGAAGGACTTTGAAATGGGTAATGAGAACTGCTGAACAGTGGAAAGCCCTCCAGGTGAGGAGAGCAATGAAAGTGTCAATGCTGCACCAGGAAAAAAGGGAAAATGAGGAGCAGTGGGTGCTGTGCTGGCACCTGCTGACCCACATCGCCCACCACATGCAGCTCTGATGGCAAGGCGAGGTTCTGTTTTATAAAACAGCGCTTTATTCTTATTTCATATTCATTCATGTTACTCACTTTAGCAGCCGCAGGTGCACTTTTCACCGTGTGGAAGTCAGATAACCATTTGTTTGAACAGTGGCCTTTAGCTGTTTGTGCCTGGAAATGTCATTAGGGAAACACAGCATTCTGTTTTCCTGTGAGATCTCTAGTATTTCTGTTTATGGCACAGATAGAAATACCCTGTGGGGAAACTTTGCAATACTGTATGCCAGTAGGACTAAGTGCAGAGCTATAGGATGACTCTTATCTGGAATTCCAGAATCAGATCTGTTCTGACATCTTTCCTAGAACGGACAGTTCTGGGACTTCTTTCACTGTCCTGGGAGAGCCAACTGCTTAAGAGAAAGACTTCCCTGAACACAGCGTGGCTGGGAGCAGCGATGTACTGGCCAGGCTCAGCGCAGGGAGCGCTGCGGTGCTGCAGCTGTGTCTGCATGGATGCTGGCGGGCTCTGGGCACCTGCACAGTGCTATGACACCTGCTCTGTGGAAATGCTAAGCTCCTACCAGCACCTGCACTGAACTGCTTTGCTTCCTGCAAGCTGTGTTGCCTCCAGCCTGGGGCCCCTCTTTGGAGTTGTGCAGAGCACCAAGAAGTGCCAGAGCACAGCCCAGGAGCTCAGCATGTTGCCCCTTGGAGTGTGTCCATGGGACCGCGCATCTCAACCGAGGCACCTCCCAGTCTGATTACTGCTGGTTTCCTTCTAGTCCTTGTATTCTTTCATTACATGCATAGTACCAGATTTATAAGTACCATAAAGGAGTTGTTACAAGGAAAAGCAGGTCAGAAACTTGCTTCAAAATGATCTCATAAATTGTGATTTTAAAAAAATGTCACATTAGGCAGCTGCACTATCACTATATTGTTATTTCTAAAGAGAAATAAACAATGTAAAATTCTTGGTGATTCTGCCCTCCGAGCTAATGGCGTAGTTCCAGCAACCATAGGGGAGCTCCGAGTGCTTTTACCAGTGCTGTGGAGGTTGATAGGGCTGAAGACAACAAAGACTATTCCCAGGTGCAGGCGAGGAGCTACCCCAAGGCCCGTCCTTCCATGGGGTGTTCAGTGAAAGAGCTCAGGTCAATACTGCATTGAAGGCTGCAGCCCTTCAATAGCAAATCTTGTCCAAAGACCAGCAGGATTTTGCAAATTCAGAGTTCTTGGCACAGAAGCAAGAATCAGTTTTCTACTGCAAACTGAAGGCAGTGGGACTCGTGAAAACTATTTTTAGAAAAAAAAAAATCCATCCCTTTTTCACATTTGTCCTGTATATCCGAGCAGAAGGCAACAAGCCATAATCTAATCTGCCATTTCCCGTATGTCTGTTTGGACAGTCAAGGCCAACAGCGTGCTGCACCAGTGCATGGATGTGGGGCAGAAAGAAGCATTTGGGAAGCTGCTAATTTATAGTTGGGGTCCCATCAATAATTTACAGGTCACTAAGACTACAAGCATCTTATACCTCAAATGGAATCAGTAGAGGAAGGCCACGTTCTCCCCTTTTCACCGGTAAAGCAGCATGTGCTGCAACTAAGGATTAGAGGACATTCTGCTGCTCTTCTGTCTTGAGCCAGAACCCACTCAGATCAAGGTACAGTTTGATGCTGACGGACTTTGGCTTAAATCCATTGGTACTTTTTCTGGTTTGTTTAGAAAGTGCCATGGGGCATCCTCTCACTAACTGGACAATGTAACTTAGAAATTTATGCAAGCAGTGAGATGAGGTGTAAGGAACAGGAGCTGACCGCTGACCCTCCTGGCAGCTCCAGGGCTCAGATAAGCACCATTTGCCCTTCCTTGGAGGCTCAGGGCAGCAGCAGTGGAGGAACTGCACTGCCACAGGCACTGCCAGCCCCAGCCTGTACTGGAGGGTGCAGGGCTGAGCAAGCTCAAGGCTCGTCCCCATTTTGCACAGCTGGGGCAAATGGAACCAGGCTGAGCCTTAAGAGCGCTTCTTTAGCTTGAAGATTAGAGTATAGGGATGTGACCACCCAGCACTGTGGGGAACAGTCACTTTTGGGGTCACAAAAGAGGACATCGCATGTGCAGGGTCTCTGTGCTCCCATTGAGGGTCGGGCACTGCCAGCAGTTCTGTGGCCTCATCCTGCCTGGGCTGTGCTGTACCCTTCCCATCCCCACCCTCCATCCATGTGGGAGGAGAGCCCTGGTGGCTGTTCTCCTCTGGCCCCAAGGCTGGTGCTGTGGGCAGATCAGCAGTGGGGAGGCCATGGCAGCCCTTTGTGGGCCCCACCAGGTCCCCCAGCTCCACAGCTGCCGGGCTCTCTGAGAGTTTGTATGAACCACAGGAAACAGTACTCTTCCCCATTCCTTCTCAAGGCCCCCTCCCCAGTCATCTGATTTAGAGCATCTGATTTAGAGCATAAATTGGCTTTCAAATATTACTGTGTGCTAACTCTCCCCCCCTTCCCATCAAAATGAAGCTGATCCCCAGGATTTTTGGCAAAGCCACAGTGAGACCACTGACATTCTTCATGTTAACTTTCAGGAAGCATGTAATTTTTTTAAATCACCTAACTCCTCTTTTGTTAAACAAGCAAACACAAAACCATACATGCAGGGACCACCAGCCTGCACTGCCCGCTGTGCTCCCATGTGCTGGTCCTGCTCCCAGCTGCCAGGAGCAATGTGCACGTCCCCACCTGGGGAGTGCCGCACAGGAGGATGGCTCCATGTCAGCAGCCCTCTGCTGCCCCAACCCTGAGAGCACACCGTGAGGTCTGCCAGCAGGCCAGGGTGAGACGGGCACCATAGTGCTCCATGTGCTGTGCTGGTTGATGGGACAGCCCAGGAGGGTTTCCCAAGTTTGCTCCTTCCTCCCTTCCTTCTAGCAAGAAGTGTGCTTGCTGCAGGATGTATCAGATTGTGAAGTTAACTTTGACACTGATATGGTGTTAAAGCTGTTGAATTATGGTGGTGATCAAGCAGAAATAAAGAAATCTTTATGCAGAGATGGCAGGAAGATGGGGAAATGGTGTAATGTGTGAACTGTAGTCACATGAAGTTAAAAAGACATAGGCTTACACCGTGCGCAGAAGCCAACACAACACAGGAGCTGTTTTGCAGCTGATAATAATTTGGCTTCAGAAGTGGAAGGTGATGCCACAGAGCAGAGCTGCAGTGTGAGCACGGGCGCTGCCAGCACTCGAGTGCATTCAGTTGCTGCAGCTCTCTCACCACATGTGCCACTTGCTAAAGACCAATCTGCTAGCACGGGTAGGTGGAAAGCTGGAAAACAGTGCTGTTGGAGGCACAGCAGCCTATGGAGAGGGCTGCAGAGCAGCCTGCAGGAGGCAGCTGGTCCGGGAGCATTTGTTGTCAGACAGACTTGGGAATGCTCGGAGGCATCTGGGAGCAGAAGGCACAGCGGCTGCCTGGTGCTGCTCTGGGAGCTCCTGCCTATCTCAGCGACAGAAACAACCGGGCTGTGGCTCTGTGCCAGTGGGGAAAAGAAGCAAACCTACGTGCATACAGTCCTACATTTTACTTGTAGGTACACATATCTACGTGTATGCATCCTATTCCATAGAGGGACGTGTACTCAAGAGAGCTGCAAGTGCGTACAGCCCTCTGTCGCTATTCAGTGATAATCTACACCTAATTAGCAAACAGTATTCTTGACCCTAGAAAGTATTTTGCTCACTGATACACTGTAGGTGCATTACATGCATCCCTGATACTCAGAACTGAAACACCCCAAAGATGGTGCAGTATGTGCAATTTCAAAAAGAAACAAACCAACCCACAAAACAATCGCCAGCACTGCGGTTCTGTGGCTGTGGGTTTAAGTTTTCCAAGAGCTTGTTGCAGACAACGTACCATAGATTGATTTTTTTCTCATCCTACCATAGCTGGAGATATTTTCCTGCGTGCTCGGTAATCTGCTGGAATTAAAACACCACGCAGATCTGTAACTACATCACTGCATTTAGGCAGCGTCTTTCATAAAACCCTCAATCCCAATCCCTGCGGCATCCACCCACTGCACACCGTCGGTCTGTAGCCGGCACAGTGACGCTTCAGAAACCGTCCAGGAGAGCACAGCCTCCCGCCTGCCTCCCCACACACACACCGCATCCCTTCCTACTTTCCAAGTCCAATATTTTGCGGATGCTCAGAAAAGGGCATCTCGGCAGGAAACGGCGTTCTTTACGAGTACGGCAGCTGAGCTTCGCGTACGCCGCGGACAAACGCACCGGCCGCAGCAGCCACGGAAGCCGCAGCGGATGGTAAAGCCCCGGCGGCTGCAAAAAGTTGCCCGGTAATTACTCGCCTCGGGCTGACGAGCAGCCTGCAGAAGCGGCCAACGCGGCTGTGTAAGGAAACGCGGAGAAACCTCACCTGCGCTCCGCGGTCAGGGAACCCCCGTCACGGCGAGGCGCGGTCCCGGCCGACCCGGCGGGTATCGCTGAGAGCCGCGGCGCCGCTCCCGGAGGCGGCCGATCCGCGCCGCGCTGCACGCTGACCCCGCGCCGCGGAGCCGCGCTGCCCCGCGCTCGCCCCGCCCGCCGCGCCGCCCGTCAGCCGCCGCCCGCACATGCCCGCTGCCCGCCGCTCCCGCGGACGCCGGGGCAGGGCCGGGCCGCGCCGCCCCGCCCGCGCTCCGCAGGGCGCCCTCGGCGGCGACGGCCCGCAGCCTCCGCAGCCTCCGCAGCCTCCGCAGCCCGTCGCCGTGCGGCTGTCGGTGCACGCGCGGATCTGCGGGGCGCGGCAGCGGCCGAGGGGCGCTGCGCTCCGCACGGGGGCGGCTCCGCACGGGGGCCCGCCCTGCCCGGGGGTCCCCGAGCCGCCCGGCGGGAGGTGAGGGACGTTGTTGCGGGCGGGCCGATCTGCAGCGCTGCACGCGCAGCTCCCCCGTGCTGCTGTCTCGCGTGAAGAGTTATTGATTCGTTCTAAACACATCCGTCCTTATGTGGGGATAGGCGGCCGCCGTACGGCTGCGTGTACTTTTGGGGCACCTCGAAAGCTTCGCATCTTCAAGTCAGGCTTTGGGCCGGAGCTCGGGGCTCGGGGCGCCGTAACGCTGGGAGTGCCGGGGGGACAAAGGGGGGCTGCTTTTGTCTGCGGAGAAGCCCCTTATCGCGGGCAGAAGGTCCTAGGAGCGGGTTTGCAGCAGCTGTCGTGCAGAAATTGAAGAAGGAAAATTAAAGGGTTTCAAGCTGTTAGAGCTTTCATATAAATCTGACGATCCTTCAGGCTCAATAAGATGGGGAAATGAACAGCTAATACACTTTTGCTCTTAGCAAACGTTTTCCGGGACTGAATATGTTGGTAGGGCTGCAGCTGTGCAGCGGATTTGGAGTTGTGAGTAACCAAGATTCTGGACACGGGTTGGAATTTTAACACGCCGATGTCTGGAGATGTTCTCTCACTCAGTAAGCTGTGCATCTGCAGCCCATCCAGCCTTTAAATGTGTGTGCATACAGCTTGAAGGTTGCGAAAGTTGGAAATTAATTTTACTGAAATTAATCAAATGTTTAATGTAATGACATTTTTCAGTGTACTGGTAGGTAGGGGCCTAAATCAGTAGGATTACAGGAATCTGCCCAGGTGAAGCAGCAGCAGGAAATGAAGTTCAGAAAATCAATGTAAGAGAAATGATGCTAAGAATTTCCCAGCTCCTGGATCTGCCTGCGAAGTGTCAGCAGTACGACACGCATCCCAGGCAGCAGCAGCCAGCTGTCCTTCAGCACAGATCATGGAACCGTTCGTGTTCCGCTGGTTTGTTCGAGACCCAAACCAGCACCGCTTCTCAGCATCTGCAGGGGTGGCAGGGCTGTGACACGCGCAGTGCTGGGTGGGTTCTGTGCCCCCCGGTGCTGCCCCGCACTGCCTGCGGCTGCACCCTGTGTGCGGGGCGCTGCCTGGGCCCCTGTGCTGCCCGGGAGGAGCTCCACTCTGTGCTGGTGCAGCTGTGAGTGCGGTGGTGCAAAGTCACTGTGAAGAGCGAGCGGTGAGGGGCACGCCAGGCGTTGGGATGGTTGTGAATAACGGCCTTCAGCATCCGTGGGCATTCGCTGTGGGGCAGCGGTGCTCAGAGCAGAGCTGAGAGGAACGGTGTGCGGTGTGGTAAGAGGCACAACGCAGCACTTGTAGGGAAGCGACTGACTGTGTCACGCGTTCTCAGACCCGGAGCTGCAGGACATGGTTGTGTTTTTGTCTTCTCTGGCATCCTGTTGTGTACGAGAAGTTGTACCGTGATAAG